CAACTATATCTTGTTCCAGTTCACTGATGATTTGAATCAAGGAGTACACACATCAAATCCAAACTAAAAACCAGTTAAAGATTTCTGAAATTATTAGTTTGAGATCATAGTGAGCTGATAACACCAAGCTGTTAAGAAAGTAAATATTTCTCAAGCACGTAACAACCTCCGGAGTTTTTCAAGCAATTAGCAAGTTCTCCAAACAAAAATGGAGTACAGCCACCCAGCATTTGTAAGCAGATAATATAATTACCTTTACGTCTTGTTTCACATATTTGTGAGTTTTTCTGTTCAGACGAGTATGATTCTCCAGAAAGGTTACAGAATCGTTCAACAATGTGACTGCTGATGTATATTTGGTCAAATGAAATCCTAGTTCACCATTTAGATCGGTCATGTTGTTAGTTCTCTCTCTCAGACTCTCGGTCTTCACATCTCTGTAATTACTTCTACTTTCGAGGTTCGCGTATGCTTCGTCAAGCTCAAGAAGCTTTCCCTTGAATAATAGTTCATGAACAGTTGAGATTTGGAGCTCAGCAAACAGTTGAGCAGCCTGAGTCTCACATATCTCAACCTCCATTCTCTTCTTCACTAGCTCGCCCCTCAACCGTTTCCCCCTACACTTAAGCTGCTTGACATCTTCTTGCTTTTTTCCAAGTTCCATGTCCAAAGTAGAGTTTAGTTCCCGCAGAGATGCTATCTCATTGGATAGATGTTTGTTATCACCAGATAGTTTTACAATTATGTTCTCTTTCTCTTTTATGATCGCTTTAGCCTCTTCACTCATAATGGTAAGTTCCTCCATCCTCTTATGCAACTCTGACTTCTCATTCTGTATCATGATCAGAATCTGTTCGGCTTCCAAAAACTCATGCTCTGACCTCTCTAATGACTTCCTGAGATGCAAGTTTTTCAATTGTACATCTTCCAGATTGCCTTCCAGTAATCCAACTTTGTCTTCAAGATCATTATTCAAGCAGTGAAGCTTTTCCAGATTTTCAGCAAGTTGTTTTCGTTCAAGGTTTGCATCAGAAAGTGAACTCTCTAGAAGGGTGTTTTTCTCCAACAGTCTCTCTAAGTTATCGGTTACCATCTGCAACCGAGAAGACAGGACGGTCTTCTCAGACACAAGAGTGGTTTTCTCTCCTAAGAGAAGTTGACAGCATTCTTCCAATACCTTTACCTGCATTCGTTGGCTTTCTAATTCAATATGTAAATCTGAGATAGTATTCTCTAGAAGAGAATTTTTGTGGCACTGTTCTTCCATGACTTTCAATTTCTCCAAAAGAGCTGAATTTTCCCTCTTTTCCACCTCAATTTTTTCTATCATCTTTGACTTCTCAACATATAGTTCTTTCACGGATGATCCAAAGCTCTCAGGAGCAAAACCAACAGACTCGATCTGCTGCAACATCGTCAAATTCTTCTCTTTGAGTTCACTAAGCTCTTCTTTTAGGCATAAAATTTGAATCTCAAGAGCATTCTTCTGGTTCAGTTGAAACTCAAGACTTGCTTCTAGCTTTTCCATATTTGTAGACATATTTGACATCTCATCCCTCAAACAGTTTATAGACAACTCTGAAGACAAGTTAAGGTTCTTCAGGATCCTTTTTTCCTCCTCAATCTTCTGTACTTCATCCTCTAGAACCTGATTTCGAGTTTCCATCTCCTTCAAGATTTGAACCTGAATCTGGCTATCTTCAGCCATTGAACTGATTTCTTCCTGAGATTTAGAATGCTGTTCTTGTAATCTTCTGAAAGCCGTTTCATTCTCTGCATATCTCGAACGCTCTTCCTGGATACAACCCCAAAGCCTTCCTAATTCCTTCTGCTTCTCTATTAATTCTACACTTTGTGAGCCTATCTTCTGCACCATAGAGTCCATCTCAGATTGAAGAATTTGGTTTGATTTCTGTAAATGAAGGCACCTTTCATTCGCACCGTTCAACTTTGCAACCCCATTAGCCTTTTCATCCTGTAGCCTTCCTAGCTCCTCTTGGGCATTACAGATTTGATGCTCCAGAGCAGCAATCTTCTCTGTGCAAAGATGATGCCTGAGACCAGCAGCTTTAGTTTCTTCAACTAATTGTGTGAGCGCTTCCCTAATAGTTAAGACTTCAGTTTGAGTTTCATCAGCTTGCACCTTGTACCTCCTGGCATCCTCTTCTGCATGCACTACTCTTTCCTCTAGGTTTAAAATTATATCAGAGGACTCCCTGTATTGGGCAAGGGCAGCTTCTCTTTGAGACTCAACTCTTGCAATTTCCCACTTTAGTCTTTCAACTTCAATTTCGGCTTTACTTGCTCTCTCGCTGCTTTCTACATTCTTTTGAACACACATAATGCTGTCTTGTAGAGTACATAACTTATCTAAACATTGCTGGTATCTTAAAAGACTGCTTTCTCTTTCACTCTCTATCTTCGCAAGGGACTCTTTCAAAGCCAAAACCTCAGTCTCGGCCTTACCAGCTCGTTCATTTAAACTCCTCGAATCCTCTTGCGTACGACAGACTTCGAACTCTAATTTGGACAACCTCTGTAGGCTGCCATTATACTGAAGTAAACCTGCATCCTTTTCAGCTTCTAATTTAGCAAGACAATTCTTTAAGGATAAGATTTCAGTCTCAGCTCTGTCCACCCTCCTTTCACACTCAACGTATACTTGTTTCTTAACATCATGGCTGCCATTATTTTGTATGTTCTCTTCTTTGGGATCCAGATCATGAAAATTGAGACCTTTTCTAGGCGTCCCATCTTCAAACTTGGAAAGGTTCTTGACTGCTCCTGAATTAAACAATTCATTAAGATGCTTCAACCACTTCTCCCTTGTCATCAAATTGGAGCCTTTGCTGGAAACTTGATTTCTTTCCCCAAGGCCAACATGAAACGATGGTAAGTCCAAATCATCTGGTTCCACAGCATCCAAATCAGAGGAGGTGGATTTCTGAGGTGTACGAAAATTAGCATCAGAAGCAGCAGGACTGTCATCAGGGAGAAGAATGGATATGTGATTAGGAAAAGCTTCAGCCATTGTTCGATGAGCCTGGTGAAATACTACTGTTACGTGATCGTATCGTTCCGCCAATGCTCGGTATGCTCGGTAGAAGTCTTCGACTAATTTCATAAGCTCCGGACGCTTTTTATAATACATCTCAGCCCTCTTTGCAAACGAATCTGCATCTTCTTCAATAAGCTTGATCATCTGTTTGATTTTTTCATCCATGTCTGTAACCAAAAAAATATGTTTTTTTTTCATCCAGGACTGCCAAGGACAAGGCCATAGAACACAAAAACGACAAAAGGAAACCAACCCATGGGGCAGTTGAAAGTATATGTTTAGAGAAGAAATTTTCAGTTACAGGGACAACAAAAGACCCACCTGAAAGATTTTCTTGAAGCCATTTAGAGGTCTTGGGGCTAATGTGGCTATCCCACCACCAAGAATACGAACGCTTGGAATCTGCAGCCGAGGGGGTCTCCATGGCTTCCTCACCTCACGCCCTCCACCACTCTTAGGTCTCAACCCAGATGGAAATTTTGACCCAAAGTCCTACAAATGTGAAGCTCAACCATTCGAGCCCAAGAATATAGGAACCTGGATCAAACCATTGTCTGTGGCCGCCTTATTATCTGAAGCAAGTTTTGAAAAGAATGAAACCCCAGAACATATCTTTTTCCATACTCAACTCAGAAGAAAGTTGGAGGTGAGGAATGAAACGTTGAAGATGAGAGAGAAGTGAGAATGTCCAAAAAAGTGGAAAAGAGAGTGATAAGTACCTGATGAAGATGATGGGTTATGTTCATTACCCTTCTTCCACTCAGCTGTTTGTGTGATCTACCTGATTTGAAACCAGCATTATGGGAAAACATAAGAAATGGAGGTTGGGAGAGGAGAATGAAGCGTGAAGTGGTAGAGAGAAATAATGGAGGATCAAAGAAGTTACCAAAAAGGAAGGTGGGGACTTAATTCTGGAACGGTTACTGCTGCTTTTGCTTTCCCTTGCATTCCACCATGTTTATTGGATATCTCTTTCCTGGTTTTCCTTGCTTTTTATGCAGTCTCCTGCTAATATTTCAGCTTTTGCAAACACCACCGTTAAAGGGCAAAAATTGGAAGCAAGGTGTCCACTTTTACTCCTTTATACAGAGTAATCAATCGCACATCAATTCCTTCATTCTTACTCAAATTTTATTTCTCAAAACAGAAGGGGAAAAAAAAAAGAATTTTGGGAATAGCTTTGACATCGGAACGTGGGATGCAATGGAAATACAAATAAGGCGCCTGCGTATGATTAAAGTGTGAAGAGAGGTGGAATAATTATCAATTATTCTCCTCATTCCCTTCTTTCTCTTCCCTCACCCCGACACACTTGACATTTCACTCAAATTTCGCCGTTTACAGGTTCTTTCATTTGTCTCTAAACAATTTGATTTGCTATTAAACTAAACTCCATGTTTTCAGCCAAAATTTAATCTACATACATTTGTTGGAGAGTGATCATCGCCAAATCATCCTAATTTTTCCATATAACAACTATTACCTTTTTAGTTTTCATTTCAAAACCAAAAAAGATTAGTTTCCAAATCAATCTTCCTCTCCTAAACAAATCATCTTATATTCTATCAAATCACTCTAAGATATTGTCAAATGCGTATAATAATTTTACCATTAATGTAAATTAAACACTTTTTCAATTTCACAAATCTAGCCTAAAAGAGATATGGGTATGGTTTCTTTAAATTTTAGAGAAAAAGAGAATTGCCTAATTAAAATGGCGTCAATTTGGGATAACCCTTTGATGATAATTTTGAAGTGTCACCAAGGACGACACTTCGTGCTAAGGGTCACTGTTTGGACAAGCATTGAAAAATGTTTTCATTTTTCTTTTTTTGTATGTGTGTATGTATGTGAAGATTGTTGGAGTGTATATTGGCTAACTACAAATATAAGTAATAGAAACCTAGATTTGATCGGTAAACAACAAAAAAAATGTTGAGACAACATAATATAGCTTCCCCATTGTGAGTAATGATGATGGGAACTCGTTCATTCATTTTCATTATCTCTTCCACCATTTCATTACAATCTGTCTCCTCATAACTTAATTGCCCTAATAATCAAATCAAACCCTCTTTCCTACACAATTTCATCACCTAAATAAAACCATCCTTCGGTGGAGCTAAACCACCTACTTCCAGGGCTTCCAATAAACCACCTACTTCCAGGGCTTCCAATGCTTCCACTTCAAACGGACAAAAAATCCTTATTTTTCTGATGCGGACAAAGAAAAACACGCCATATTCTTCTATTCTCATGATGCTGTTTAGGAATAGTATAAAGTTAAAGCATGAAGGAAGGACACTCGAGTATTTGACTTTTCCGGTCGGATGTCGGTTCTTTACCCTTCCTTCCCTTGTCTCCCATCGTAGCCTTTTTTTTTTTTTTTTTTTTCAATCTTCTAATTGGGCCTAAAAGAAAAGGCCCAAATTTGAGCTCAATGGGCCTGAGCTTTAACTCCGTCTAAACCAGTGAACCACTCATGTACTCCCTTGCTCCCCAAAGCCTGTGCCGTTTGTTGTGCAGACATCGTCGGCGTTGTGGTCTCTCGCGAGTCGCTACCTGTTGGCTGCCAAAACCATCTCACATCGCCATATTCTGCTTCACTCCACCAGCCAGATGTTCGGATAATTGGAAATATGGCGACCCGTTTCGCAGCCCAAATTAGGGGTTGGGATTGTTGCTTTGCTAGGGTTCGGGGGAAGGTGAGGGACTATGGAGGTGTGGTGCAGATCAGGGTGTCAGATGTTGTGGTTGAGGACGACCCAAATGCTGAAATTCTGCATTGGTTGGATTGCATGAGGTTGGCTCAAAAGTGTTATGACCTCTTCCCTACACCCTCATAGCTGTAGATTCCAATGCTTTTAAAATGTCCTCTCTACTGCTTTTTTTCTGAATGTAGAAAAGATTCCGCTTTTTTTAGCCTTACTGTACAAAATTTTGCATAGCAGATTGGTCTTTGTAATGATTATATAATAATAGGGAAGCTAAGTGGTCTTTGTAATGATTATATAATAATAGGGAAGCTAAGTTGGTACTGCCTCTGTTTTGTTTGATGGAAATGGATAAAATTGAACAGAAATCAATGACAAATAGTTAATTAACAAAGCTCTTTAGCATTGGATCACGCATGTTTGCAAATGAAGATGTGGGATTACTGTGAGTACTAACATTTTATTAAGAAGTTTTATTGTTTTCTTTTTAGCTTTTCTCGTTGGGGGTGTTATGTGGAATTGATTCTTTATGCGTGAAGGATCAGTTTTGAGAGAATGTTATAGGGATTTGTAGTTCCAAGAGGATGCGCGGAGGATGAACAGTGAAAAAGTCAGAAACATACAAGTCAATGGTGGTTGGAAACTGGAAAGAATGGCTTATGAACACAGATGAAAGGTAAATTCAAACTGCAAATTTGAAACCTCTCCGCTTTTGACCTCTGTCGTCAATGCAAAATTCCATGTCATTTACTGCTCTCTGTTGTAACCTAGGAACATGGTTGCCTCCTATTGTTTCTCTTTTATTTCTAAGCTATTCATTCATCTGGTTCCCTGAATAAAGAGAATTTTTTCTGATTGGTTGGTGTTGTGAAACACTTCTGTTTGATATGTTAGGGCCATAGAGCACAATAGTTTAAGTTTTCATATATGCCTACTGACCTTCTTCTTTTTCCTCTTTTTGAACCGATTCTTCTCTCTACGTTTAGAATAGAGATGTCGAACAAATTCAACCTCCTTGAAAACTTTATCAGCTTTCCTCAAACTATTTTGTTTTTAGTTGGTTCGAATGTGAACCAGTTGAATTCGTATAGATGAACTTATTGATCATCATACTATGAGAATAGGAAACACTGTAAAGAATTCCTTGGTGGCTTATAATGAAAAGCAACGAAGACGGAATACCATTTATTTGATGGGCAACATCATTTTGGGCTCCTATCCAACAAGAAATAGGTATGATTGTCCATCTTGGATAATTCAACTCGAATCAATTGGATGTCTAACTCAAACTTATATGATATGATCGAGCAAATCAATAGAGAAAACACTAATAAAAACACAAGGACGATCGAAGTAACTTTACTCTTTCACTATGCCTATCTTAATTTTAAAGAGTTTATTTTTCCTCAGTTGAATTAAATAACTTAACATTGAATATAGAATTTGCACCAAAGGGTTGAAGTAAATAATTTATATGGAAATTTATCAACATAAATCAATGAAATAATTTTGTGTTTTAGTTTTATAATTTTTAGCTATTTTGAGCTTGATTAAAATGACATTTTACACCGGAACCATTACTTCCGCAGTTATTAAATGAATCATTGAAAAAAATAAATTAAACCTCTTTAACCACACATTACTTAGCAAATTCCGTTTTGTTTTGTGCGATAGATTCAAGTTTGTATTGCTAATCCTTGGATCGTGGCTTAGTTGGGTCATTAAATGAAAGCTCTAATCTTGTGGTGTTCAAAAGCCTAGAAAATCCCGTAGGATGTGAGGGCAACCCAAAATTCCCTACCGACATCCGAAACCTAAGTTCAATAATGAAAAGGGTGTCTTTCCCAATGTGGGTGCTTTTCAAAATCTCTTCTTTTCTTTGTTAACCCAGATGCATGAAATGTGAGGAACAAATTGCAGCTGAACACACAAAACAAAAACCCTTGAATTTGGTGGTGCATGGCCTCTATTTGAAACAACTCTCAGTTCTTTCATACCAATGGTTCAATATTATGCGTGCGTGCGTGCATGGGGATGGAAGGCTCTAACATGTGTTGTTGTGTTAACAGGTAAAGATAAAGAGAATATGTGACGAAAAGTTTGAATATTTTTAATATAACATGCTGAGAAGTAACTGTAATATAACGAAGAAATGAGAGAAATTTTGTGGGTTGCACTTACACAGACACAAGGCAAGGCAAGGGAAGGCAAGGCAAGGCAAGGCAAGGACAAGGACAAGGACAAATTTTCTTCTGGCAGAAGATCAGAGAGATGAAGAGAAGGGATAGTACTATCCTACGTCAAAGTTCAAGCCTAGCTTTATTGACCATTCTGGAGAGAGAAAGAGAAGAAAGAAGTGGCGGTGGTGGGGAGAGAGGGAGAGGAGGAAGGGGGTCTATAGGCACTGTTAGTTTGAGTGGGTGAGCAATAGAACAAATACCCTTCAACAACTTGGGTCAGCGTTGGATTTTGGTTTAATTTTGGTTTAATTTTGCCTTCTTCACAACTCACGAGAGAGAGAGAGAGAGAGAGACGCAGAAAGCGTTTCTCTCCTCTGCATCTTTATTATTCTCTTCAAATACAACACTCCACTCCACTATGTATTCGCCACCAGCGCCCTCTTCTTCTTTCAACCTCATTCTGTTCTTTACCCCATAATTAGGATGCGAACACACCCCACATTCAGCCCGATTTCTGTCATTTCCCTCCCCTCTCTCTTTGTTCCCAAGCCCGGAAAATGAAATAATGCCGAGAAGCTGGGATTTTCCTTCTTGTTTCGATCTGTTTTCTCTTTGTCGACTAATAAAAACAGGGGATTGGGACTCTATCCCCACCCCCCATGTCACTCCAACTGTTTCCAGAGCTATTCCGTTGCTTCATCTGTTTCCTTTTGATTCTTTGAATTGAGGGAACCCACACACAAACAATGAATTTATTGACGCATTCGAGTTTCGTTCTAATTCTTATGATTTCATTGATTTCATTCATATTTTAGTTCCTTATTTTTGTTTTTATCCGCTAAGTCCTAATACCAGACCCGTTAAGGAATCACTGGGATTTCCATTCTTCCCTTGGAAATATTTACATGAATCAGTGAAGCAATGAGAGATGGAAATTCAAAGAAAAGCAAGGTCAGAACTATGCCCATAATATTTCTTTGACTTCTGTCTGTCTCTAGTGTTTGGGTTTAGTTTGAAATTATTGACCTTTTCCTTTTCTCTTCGTTATTCCACCGAAGCTTTCATGGACCAAGACATTATTCAGGAAGTGGCTGAATATCAAGGGTAAATCAGAAGATTTCGAGGCAGACGATAGTGTTTGCGGTGGGGAATCCTTCTTTTCTAAACAAAAATTGCAAATTTAGTTCTTGAAATTCCCCGAAGCTGATATTACTGGCCTTTTGATGCCTGTGGATGACGAGCACTCTAGTTTTTTGGTGTCTGCTCAAGATCCATAAAAATAAAAATAAAAAAATAAAAAAATAAAAAATAAATAAAAAAACTCAGTTTCATTTCTCCCTTTCAATGAATCCTCTCGTCTTTTTGATGTTCAAACTGAGGTGATGATGAACGGTAAAGAAGCTTTAACAACTTTATGGTTATCTTTTTCAGGTGGCCATGAAAAATGGAGGAACAGCCATCCGGAGGAGGCATGCGCCACCAAGAAAAGTCGAACAGGTTCAGGATCAAGAGCTCCCACATCATTATTTGAAATAAAGTATACTTCTTTTTCTTTTTAATTTATGTGCTCTTTCTATATAAACTTCAGAGGGATCAAGCAGGAGGAGTTTTGAAGGAATCCTCCAACGTAGTTTTGAATTTGATGCTCCACAGACCAACGACACGAGCAATTACAGGTATGATCGATTTAGTTGTTTTTCCAGGCAGTGATACTTTGGACCAAGACTTTCATTGTCTTTAACTCTCTCTCTCTCTCTTTGCCCCCTTCTTTTTTTCTCTTTCTGTTTATGTGGACAGAATATTTGTAGCAACTTGGAATGTTGCTGGAAAATCTCCTCCTAATCATTTAAGTCTGGATGATTGGCTTCCGAGCTCAACTCCTGCAGATGTATACGTTCTTGGGTGTGTTCTACTGCTCCGAATTGGAATCTTTTTCTCAGACTTAAAGATTGTGTAATTCTTTTAAATGATAGGGAAGTTTGTTTTTTCTTTTGGTTCCCAGTTTTCAGGAAATTGTTCCTCTAAATGCTGGCAATGTGTTGGGAACAGAAGACAACGGCCCAGCTAAAAAATGGCTTGCTCTTATTAGAAAGACTCTGAATACTCTTCCTGGCACTGGTGATGGTGCTCGTTATCACGCATCTTCCCCGCTCCATGATTTATTCACCAATATGGATGCCGATTTTGATGTATCAACAAAGCAGAAGGCTTTGCCGTTCTTCCATCGACCCTCATTTCAGTTCTCCAGTCATAGCATGAGAATGGACAATAACATTTCTACACAAAAAACCCAATTTGATCGACGATTTAGCGATTTTGATCAGGTTATGTTTGGGCATAGGCCAAGTGATTATGATCCACATTGCAGGTGGGGTTCATCTGATGAAGAGATTGAACAGGGTGACTCTCCATTTGTCTCCCACTATTCTCCTATTTCCCACTGTGGTTCCTTCTCCATAGATGATAGGGATAGACAAGCTGGGCGCTCAAAGTATTGTTTAGTTGCCAGTAAACAAATGGTCGGTATATTTCTTACCGTGTGGGTGAAAAGCGATCTCAGGGACAACGTCCGAAACTTGAGAATTTCTTGTGTAGGGAGAGGATTGATGGGGTATCTTGGAAATAAGGTAAGACTAAGCTTTAATTTCTTTACTTTTTTCAGATTTAAGAACCTCTTGTGAACTGACTGAAAGTGGGCCACTATTTATCTCTGGTGTTCTAGGGAGCAATCTCAATTAGCATGTCATTACACCAAACAAGCTTCTGCTTCATTTGTAGTCACTTATCCTCCGGGCAGAAGGAGGGCGATGAGCATAGGAGGAATGCTGACGTTATGGAGATACTGAAGAAAACTAGGTTCCCCAGAATTAGTGGCATGGAAGATGAGCTCTCCCCTCAAACAGTTCTTGAGCATGAGTAAGATTATCCTTCATTTGCTATCATATTTTGGTGATTTTAACCTTACAGAAATTCTGGTTTCTTGTTTCTCTCTACGACTGAATCAAACTTCAATGATCACTTTCTTGGTTCAGTCGGATTATCTGGCTGGGTGATTTGAATTATAGGATTGCCTTGTCTTATTTGTCTGCAAAAGCTCTTGTCGAGATGCATAACTGGAAAGCGCTGCTGGAAAATGATCAGGCAAGTAGTATGGTGAATTAGCATATTTGTGTCCATTTTGTTGAAGAATTTTGTACCATACGTTTATCTTACAGCTTATGAAACTGAGAATACAATGGTTTATGTTATCAGCTGAGGATAGAACAAAGATGTGGACGCGTCTTTGAAGGATGGAAAGAAGGGAAAATCTGCTTCCCCCCGACCTACAAGTATTCCTATAACTCAGATAGATACTCGGGAGATGCTAGGTACCCAAAAGAGAAGCGTAGGACTCCTGCTTGGTAATTTCTCTCTTCCCTGTTGAGGAGAGCAATTGTTATGTGCTAACATTGTTAGCCTTTCATCAATTCCATGACTTATGAATGTGGATTTTTTAATTGAAGGTGCGATCGAATACTGTGGTACGGTAGGGGTCTGAATCAATTGTCTTATGTTCGTGGAGAGTCGAGATTCTCAGACCATAGACCAGTTTGCAGTGTGTTTTTGGCTGAGGTCGAGTCCCTAACTCCTAGCTGGATAAAGAAGGGTCTGAATTATTCCAGTACCAAGATTGAAGCTGAAGAGCTATTGCCAAAACACGAATGGTTATTCGGGACATAATTTCTTGGGCTGATCTTCAGGACGCACAAAACTTCAAAAGAAAAGACAGTTTGAAGGGGGGATCCAAATTGTTCCTGTAAGGTAAATATCTGAAAACCTCTATCATAGATTTATAGTATTGTGAGTTGATTTAGTTAACATTGTCTTTAGGAAATAACTGTCTAGAAAATGTGATATCCTTGGGAGTTCAAACTTCCGTTTTATCAAATAATTAAGGATGCGATCATAAAGCTTAGTAGAAGATCTTAAGTTTTGCCTGCTTGAAAGAAATGGTGAGAAGGACCTATTTTATTATCCTTCGTGGATTAAATGCTCTTAATAACAGATGATGAATATCGCAGACCATTGTGGCCGCTGGTCTGTTTTTTGAGTTAAATAGAAAGCCTCACAAATTTAACCACTAAAGTACGGGGATGGTGCCATTGACTCTGAGAATAGAATGCCTAGTTTTGAAATGTCATTTTCTAGTCATGTTTCTCATTAAAAATTTTAGTTGAGATCTTTTGCACTGCTTCTCTTCTCATTTGTTAATTTGGGTCCCCATTCTGCAGGTGGGCACTGCCAAAAGTCTTCTTTGTCTCCATAATTATGGAGGTGTTTCTAATGCCTAGAATCCAAAAAAGAAGGTTGCTCATTTACATTTTTTTTTCCATGTCGGTTCATCTCCCTTTTCCTCATTGCATTTTGTTCATCCATATTTCAGGTAAAACTCACGTTGATCTTTCTCAACTGAGCTTTACTTCATGACTTCAACTGGCCCAAACATGATATCTGTAGCAAGGTAAGAGAAAGCTAATGTTTCGCTGTTGCTCTTGAGTCTTGATATATTAAATACCTTAAATCCAGCAATACTACTATGAATGAGTATTTGGTGTTGGTTGATTTTATCATATGCTTGAATCGCTGACTTCATGACTCAAAACTCATTGCTCTATATCTCTAACTTGAGAAAAAAAAAAATCAAGACCTTGACAGTTCAAGACTTGGAAAATTACTGCTTTTTATTTATTTATTTATTTATTTTACCTTTTGCTCCATTCATGTTCTTATCTTATATTCAGGACAAATGAAGGAAGAGAGAGGGGACAAGTCCTTCATGTCTAAATCATTTGCAGTCCCTTTGGAATGAAAGTTCTCTTTGGGGGAAGGAAGGGTTGTAGAGATAATATCAGAGCTTCACACAATTAGGACACTTTTTCCTGTTTTCTTCTGTCACAAATATTCTATTATTATGCAAAATAGAAAAGAAAAAAGAATATGTACAGATGGCAACAAACTGCAACTGAAAGTGGGGAATAAAAAATAAAATAAAAAATAAAAAACTCTATATCCATTCATGTGGGTTTTGATTTTGGTGAGAAATACTGATATTTTGTCTCCACTTTTGTTTCCTGCACTGGGCATTATGATGGCTGAATTTCCTTTCACTTTTTCATGCCAAAACTAAAGGCCTCAACTTTCATCTAAGCACTTAATCTTAGTACAACATGAATTCTTAGATTCCTTTCCTTTCTTCCACCTGAATAGGAATTTGGAAAGAGTCTCAATTGGACCATCATCCATGGGGAATGGTCCAAATATCTTCTAAAATTCCATTTAAGAATACATAATTACTATCTTTGAAGAACAAAATTCAGGAAAATCTACAAATTCAACAGCAGACTCCTTTTTAAGGCATCAAATGTAAGAGACCCAAAATGAAAAAGAAAAAGTTAAAAAGTTCCTCAATTGGTGAATGCATTGGGTGAAGGGTGAAACCAAAACTGTCACTGCTACTTAGTTAAGGAACATTAAAAATGCTCACTGCACAAAAAGACTGGCGGACTCCATTCTGTTTTTCACCAAAACAGCCTAAGAAAGTTGCCATTTTTTTCAAATTTTTTTGCCAAATGCCATCAGAGTGTCCTCAACCCTTCATTTATTATTTATTATTTATGTTTTTTTTTTTTTTTTTTAAATTTTAGCAAACTGTATGTGACCCTACCCCTTTACTCTGTAATCGTGACCCCACTGCATTTCCTCCCCCTCTGTCTAATCTTATTCTCGCATTTACTGCCTCCGTCGTACTCGTAGCTTTACCCGTCTTTTCAAAAGGACCTGTCTTTTTCTCCCCATTTTCTTTCTTTTAATAAGATGGCTTATTTAATGTCAGCTCACACCTTCCTTAATATCTTGGTAGAAAAATGAGACCTCTCAGAAAACTAAGCAGTTTGGAACCTCTTTTTACTTGTTTAATTGCTGCTTTTGAAGTCTTTTTTTTTCGTTAATTTGTTTTTTAGAAGATGTTGAAAAAGTCATAAGGTACGGCTGTGAATGCTTAGCCATTCAGCTATGATGGCAAAGTACATCCCATCATTCAATTAGGAGAGAACCTCTTGTTGTTGATATGTAATTGAATCCTTACCTTTGTGTGCAACAATCCCATAAGAGAGAGATGAATGTTGAGACATGTTTTATCGTTTAGTCTGACCGAAACCCAACTTTCACAGTTTTAGCTTTCAAGAATTCCGAGCTGGAAACTGACTGTTTTTACAAACTCACGTTTCAATGATATTTACTCTTACAGCTTGCTTTACGTGTGGTAAAAACTGCATTAAATAGCACCCCATATATTTATATGTAACAAGTAGTATACGTGTTAAGTGAATGCTATTGCTAAAACTTATAAGATATGTCGTTTGCTTGAAGTCCTAAAATTGCAGCCTTTCAGCTTCACAGTAATAATCACCATGTCAATAAGCAAACATATTGTTTCCTTTAGTTTTTGTTGTTGGGTAGAGTGGTATTACATCATTTGATTAATTGATTTCTGGTTTGTTCTTCTTCCAAAGATTGGATTGATATTTCTTTTGTTTTAGGGTCAGCTCTATACACCTTTGTTCTTAAATATAGCTAGTGTCCTTTGTTTGCTAGTTCTATTGCTAAATGAAATGAAAACTAAATATGTATATAGATACACATGTCCTTGCCTTTGGCTTGCTGCTAGGTTTGGTAGAGGCACAACCTTGCTAGGCTTTGTTCCCTCGGCTAATCAATTGGCTCCACCTCCATGATTTGGAAGATACATTTTATTGGATAAGATAAGCTATTAAATTATTTTCCTAGGTTGTTTTCTTCTGTTGTCTTATATCAGCTAATGGGTTTGTCTGCAGAATAATTTAATCCTACACCAATATGCTTCCTGGTGTGAAAACGATGGCAGAATATGGATAAGTAGCAGATGAGATTGTCCCTTAACATCTGAGCCATATGGCCACACAAATGCCCATCTTTCTGCCCTTTCAATCTTTGCTCTTAACTCGAGAGTTGTACTCGTAAGACACGTCAATGCTATTATTGGTACAAAATCATTTGTTGATTGAAAAAAGAATAGACATTATTTATAAACCAGCAACCGAGATAGTTAAATGATTTCTGTCACATGCATTTACTTGCCGAGTCAATTTTATGTACAGTTTCCCTTAGCTTAGGCTGCTCTCCAAACCAACACTTAGTGCAATTATTTGGGCTAATAAGGACTGTCTAGGTCTTCGAAGTCTTTGGTTTGAATACAATACAACCTATACAATTATTCATACCCTTTTAAATATCATATTATCTAACACAAAACAATAATGCATTTGTGTTTCTTCAAGCATTTGATTGGTCAAGGAGCAATTAAAGAGTAGCAATTTCGCAGCTTTTACGTGTCAATATGGAGCTTAGTTCAATCAACCAGAGGGTTCCAATTATTCCCATTAAATAGTTTAGTGTGTTTCTTTATCTGAGTGGTTGTGATTTAAAGACACAAATTGGGCCACAGGTTTGAGATAGCATTGAATAGATAATACAGTAGTAAGTAAGCAGAATGTGGGTAGCATCATGAGGACCAAATAATGCACACACTGGGAAACTTGAAAGGTAAAAATTGTTAATAGATCATGAAAATGGGTGTTATAAAAAGACTTGGTCCAAACTTGAAACTGATAAGATCCTATGTGCACGTGATCCCACGTGATTTAAGCATGAACATGCACGTACAAATATGATCACAGTCAGTGGTTAAGGTTGGTCCAAAAATGGAACTTATTGCAGAGTCGCGTTGAATTTAACACAACCCCATAATGGAACTCCACTGAGAGAGAGGCATCACTGTTTTCTCCCTTCCGTTAGTTACTGCAAAAGGGGGTTTTCTTTTTAAGTTGGGCTTGTGTGAGAGATTTTCAATGTCAAGCACTTGAAACGTAGGGACATCATTACGTTGTTAAAGGAAACACTGTCCAATGTTGAATTTATAGACAGACAGGAGTTAACAATACGACAATAGAGGAGGAAGTAGGCAAAGTTCATAGTCAAGAGTCAAAACAAAAAGCATTTGAATCCGTGGTATCAGTAAGTTAAAGCTTTTTTCAGACGTTAATTCTGTTTTGAGGGATAATGTTGGGTTTGGTCCAAATTCAAAAGTTTATGGTGGTGTGTGCCTTTACTTGTCAAAGACGGCGTGTAATTGTCGTGTCAGTTGGAAGAGACATGGGTGAACTCCCAAAGTGAGTGATAATGAAAGAAAGAAGGGTGCTCCCAATTACTCCACGTGCAACCCAACAAATCCATATTTTTCCAACAGTTAAAACACAGAAAGCACTTGATTTGGTTCACTGAATCATTCAAGTTTTTCTTTTGTTAAGACAGGATTCAACAACAGTTCTGGTGCCTTCTAAATTTCTGCAAAAGAAAAGCAAGTCAGCTCCGAAAATAACATACACAGATAAGGGGACTACGATTCGTTCTTTTGAGTTGTGAAGTATGATGATTTCAGGTCCACTGCCCTCTGTGGTTAATCATTTGCAGTGAAGTGTCAAATCAGCAATCACCCTCGCTGGCACAAACCTCTCACAATGACAGTGTGGATAAAGTAAGTAAATACCATTGGATATATCAATGGCTGCTCGTTGATCCAATTGTTGGATCTTTCCGCTCTCTATTTTTTTGAATTCTAAACCTAACATTTACTAGTTGTGTAAGAAGACGCATGAAATGATTTGTTTCCAAGTAAAAATAGATCTTCTGCATCCTCTGGGAAGCAATCAATCTTTCACATTGCTCTGCACAGAGAAGTATGAATGCAAGAACTTTAAACGAAGAGGATTTTTCTCTCTATCAAGAGACTCGGAAAGAGCAAATGTATTTGACACAAAATTATTTCCCTTTTATCATAACCATCAAAGGATCAGGGTCATTCCTTCAAAAGTACGCAAGAATGTTAATCTAAAATAAAAGTACATAACAAACAAGGAAAATGAAATACAAGCAAGCTGCCGCCCATGCATCAACAAATGTCTTCTGAATTGATTGGAAGTAACTTTTAAAGGTCAGGCATGCCCTTCCCGGTTTTAGCATCATAACTTTTCTCCAGTACCACATCCATTGGAGTATCCTTAGGACCAGCTGCAAACCAACAAATCAGATCGAATCGAAAGGAGCACAAGTAATACGATTACTTGAGGAATAAATTCAAATAAATTTAGGGAACTATATTGAATTGCATGTGCCATAGTTCCATGTTAATGTTTCGGTCTTCACACCTTCAGCAAAGTACATATATTGGGGCTGTCTGTTAAGCTAACGTGAACCAGACTCTAAGGTCTTAATTTCTTCTGACCAAACTGACTAGACCGAGTGATTGAGACATCAAATGTAGAATTATGCATGAAGTCTAAGTTTCATCAAAGATACGGTGGCTAACATAGAAATGTTGAACCACATTCACGTATTCTCTCGTTTGTTTTTCAATAATATTAAGAACAGTACTGAAATCCTTCACACAAGTAGTTCTTGAGTTATTATTACTAGAGAATTTTTTGTCACTATTGAATTGATTTCAATCCATTGATTAAAGAAGTTCAATCCCTGCTATACGGAGAAAGAGAGAGGACAAAATAACCAAGCTAAACAATACAAAGAATAAAATATTACAGCTGGAGTGAAACTATAAGCAGCCAAAAGAATAAGATATACAGTCCACAGCTTAGTCAGTAACATTAAGTTGACTATTTTGAAATCCCCTCAGGTTCATAATAGCTCTGTGAGTAACTGTTAAGTTTGGTTCACATGGATGTCTAAACTGATTTGGTCGGAAAAACTGTTGTCCTGGGGTATGCAAGGGCAGATCTATACCATATAGGTGGGAGGGCCAAAAATTAACATTAGTGAATCAGTAGTTGCACCACCTGAATGTCCCGAATAGGTTTAACCTTAGAACCTATCATCAAGCCCATGGTCAAATGGTAAAGGGAGCAAGGAGTCATAGTCCCCCCAAAATTTTGGAATTTATGCATACAGGATTGGACAACACAACATATTTTAATATTATTCAGTCATGTATATGAGATGGTGGCCCCCAAATTTTTTAAATATTTATTTACATATAGAGCAATAAGTTGGGGTCCCAACGCAAACTTATTATTATTATTATTATTATTATTTATTATTATTATTATGATTTGTGAGCCGTCTAGAAAAGTTAAAAAGCCAGGATAAAGGACTTGATCCAGAACCTTCTACGGCCAAAGGAAGAGCAATTCGTTTTACTATTTAGCCTCCCTTTTGACATTAACAAACTGTATTAAATAGACAACACGGCGGAAAGCCATTACCCAATGCACTAGGCTGGTAAGGAGAATTTCAAGCTATTGTAGCCTAATCTTAATTAATAAAGAAGAAAAAATTTGTGTGGGAGCCACAACAATGATGCCTCTACATGTTCAAAAAAACTTAAAATACATGGAGGGACCAACATCCCATATTCAGGGATCAAATTTAAAATAAACAAAAATACAAAAATTCCAAAAGTTTAGGGGGCATCCGCGCATGGGCATATGATCTACACGACTTAATGATTGAGCCGTGTTGGCTTGAAGATGGTTGCATGCAATGAGTTTTCATTTTCTTTTTCCCCCTTTTCAATTAACTTCGCTCAAATCTTAGCTGCATACCTAGTTCATTTGTTATTTATCGATTGATATAGCCAAACTATTTGCTAACTGATAGAACCTTTTTCAGAAACAGAGCCGATGGAGAGAGCTCCCTTTTCTCTCGTAATAACAAAACTACCCAAAATGATCAGAATTGGCCTACTCTCCTCGCACTAAATGAGACATAATTACAACTTTCCCTTGCAGCCCCTATTACACAACTACATGGGCCCAGTCTCATAACAAAAGCTCTATATTACACTCACAGATCAGTCCCACCATCGGCAGATCTCCATTTTACTACCATAAACTTTCAAAATGGAAGGTCAACTTCTATGTTTACATTCTGAAGCTATCTACTAAGGTTCATGGTTGTACCTTCATAGTCTTGTACGCTGTGGCTATAGCATGCCAGACGGAGCAAGCATTTCAATACTAAGCTATTCTAACTGTCATTTTATCTGTTAGAGAAGGAATATAACCAACTTCGACTGCACGTACCTTTACCATGAAATATACTATGAATTTCTTTGAAATCCATTTTCATATAGGTATTGGAGAGAGCAAGGTCTGCTTCCATCACTATTGTAACGGCCCAGATCCACCGCTAGCAGCTATTGTCCTCTTTGGGGCTTCCCCTCAAGGCTTTAAAACGCATCTTCTAGGGAAAGGTTTCCACACCCTTATACCACACCCTTGTAAATGGTATTTTGTTCTCCTCCCCAGCCAATGTGGGACATTACAATCCACACCCCCTTCGGGGCCTAGCGTCCGGTTGAGCACAACTCACTGTGGGAAACACTCACACTCTTTATTAAGACCAATCGAGAAGAGAATACAAGACACTGTGTAGAATACTTCTGCTTTTTATTGTTTTTTGATTTCTTGGATGAATAACCTAGGTAGGATGGAGGGGTATTTATACTAGAGTCTACGCAATCTAGACCTAACAAATCTGAATCTTTTTCCTAAAAATATCTAGATCTCTTTCTCCTAAAATCTAGTATCTTTACTAAAATCTCTACTAAAATAAATATGCAATCGGCTCGTACAATTATTGGGCTTGACTCTATTGGGCTAGTGATGATATTTCAACACTCCCCCTCAGCACTAGTCCTCATTCGCTGCACCATGTTGAGCTGACAGCGAAAACTCTCATGTTTGCCAGTATTCAACCCTTTTGTAAACAAGTTTGCCACTTGGTTATCTATCTTGATCTGTTGCATCTCGATTTCTTCCTTTAGAACCTTCTCTCTAATGAAATGGTAGTGCACCTCCACATGCTTTGTTCTAGCATGAAACACCGAATTTTCTGCTAGGCGAATCGCAGATTGATTGTTGCAATGAAGTGGTATTGGATACTCAATTTTCTGGTGCCAATCTTCCATCAAAAGTTTTAAACATGTATTTTCCTAAGCTGCTCCAGCTATTGCTCTGTACTCTGCTTCTCTAGTTGACAATGATACTGTTGGTTGTCTTTTCTTACACCAAAAAATTGTTCTCAAACCGAGCTTGAACACATACCCAGTGATTGATCTTCGGGTATCGTGGTCTCCTGCATAGTCGACATCACTATATCCAGCTAGCTTCCAGTCTTCGCTTCTTTTGTATAAACGATCGTAATTGATTATACCTTTGACATATCTCAAGGTCCGTCGAGTCGCATCCAAATGAGGCTTCTACGGATTTTGCATATATTGATCAATGACTCCAACTTCATTTTCAAATTTATTCAATTGGTCCATGTAGAACTCTCTGTTTAACTCTCCATGCAAGAAAGCATTATTCATAACCATATGCCATAATTTCCAATCTTTATTTACCGTAAGTACTGGAGGAACTTGTATGATAATGATCTTTGCCACTGGACTAAACGTTTCATCATAGTCTAGTCCATATTCTTGAGGGAACCCTGAATCTATAGTCTGAGCTTTGTATCTCACAATTGATCCATCCGGGGTACACATTATTCCGTAAGCCCACTTGCAAGAGATGAGTTTGGTATCTCTTGGTCTTGGTACTAATTCCCAAGTCTGATTTTGTTCCAGGGCTATAGTTTCTTCCTCTATCGCTTTCTGCCAAGCTGAGTTTTGTGATGTTTCTTCATGTCTCCGGCTCATTAACTTCATCTTCTACTGCGTTGGCACACTCTGGATTTGCCTTTAGGATTATTTCTGAATGTTTGAGTTGTTGAGGTGTCATTTCATTTTCGCTAGGCTCACTTGGTTGAGTCACTTCTTGCTCACCAAGACTAGTGTCACTTGAATGTTCAGGCACATCAGCACTTAAGCAAATATGTACAATTTGCTCCCCCGTCTTTTGTGGAAGAATCTCTTCAATTTGCTCCTCTGTGTTCTGTAAAAGAATTTCTTCGGTTTGCTCCTCTGTGTTCTGTAAAAGAATTTCTTCGGTTTGCTCCTCTGTGTTCTGTAAAAGAATTTCTTCGGTTTGCTCCTCTGTGTTCTGTATAAGAATTTCTTCGGTTTGCTCCTCTGTATTCTGTATAAGAATTTCTTCGGTTTGCTCCTCTGTGTTCTGTAAAAGAATTTCTTCTGTTTGCTCCTCTGTGTTCTGTAAAAGAATTTCTTCGGTTTGCTCCTCTGTGTTCTGTAAAAGAATTTCTTCGGTTTGCTCCTCCGTGTTCTGTAGAAGAATTTCTTCAATTTGCTCAAGGCCTAGTAATACTTCCTTCTCTGAGGGCCACCCCTCTTCCATTGCACCGCTTTGATCGTCAATCATGTGGTTTAAGCATCTGAAATCAATGATCCAGTCATCCTCGTAATTGATATGCTCTTCCATCATTGCCATGAGTGCTAGCTTGTCTTCTACTATTGGACATAGTACCTCTGCATCCCATTCATCCTCTATCTTCTTTTTGGATATTGCCACATTGCTTTCAACCGACTTTTTCCTGAACCAACAATCTCTAGACATGTGGCCCTTTTTCCCGTAATTATAGCAAATACCTCCAAATCTCTTTTCTTGGAAACTCTTGTTGTCATTCTTCTAAGCTCTCTCAGGTTGTGTAGTTCCTTGGTGGCTTCTTCTTTTGTCACAATTGTATCCACGTTTGGTAGATGGCCTATTATTGCTCCAACTTTCACTTGTGTAGAGTTTTTCTTCTTCACCCGTTTAGCCATGGCTTCTTGGCTAGCTAACAAATTTTCGAACTCTACAAGTGATGGTTGAGTGGGTCATCCTTGTACAGCAGTAATGAAGCTTCGATATTTCGGTCGCAATCCGTGGATTATAATCCTCTTCATTCGAGATTCTACAATGACAAACTTTGGGTCTAGTTCAGTAATCTCCCGACAGATCGATTTGACCTTGTGGAAGTACTGAGCAATCGTCATGTCACGTTGTGAAATTGACAACTCATTCTCTAGAAGTTGTAGCCTCGTATCGTTCTTCTTTGAGAACATCACGAACGTGTCCCATGCTTCTTTCGGTGTCTTGTCATCCCAAATATGTTCTAACATCTCTTCTCCGATTGTGGTCTTCAAGGCAAACATTGCTTTGCCTGCTTTGATTCTCCATTTGCGCAAGGCGCTGTTAGAATCCTCCTTTAGTGGCGTAGTTTCACGCCTACCAACGATCTCCCAAAGATCCTGTCTTTGTAAATAGGACATCATGCATGTTGCCCATGTGTTGTAGTTGTTGAGTTTATTGATTCCTCCAACGATTTGGAAATCACCCATCGTGTTGGTCATACCTCAATAATACCAAATAAGCTCTTTCGACACAAGACTTGCAGAGTCATAGACTACTCACGACACAAATGAAACTCACTCACTACTAATCTCAAGAAATCGTTTCTAATGTAGAAAATCAGACAGATCTGCAACCCTAGAGCATACTAAGAATTCCAAGAGATCAGATAACCTACACTAACCTCGCTCTGATACCAAATGTTGAACACAACTCACTGTGGGAAACACTCACACTCTTTATTAAGACCAATCAAGAAGAGAATACAAGACACTGTGTAGAATACTTCTGCTTTTTATTGTTTTTGGATTTCTTGGATGAATAACCTAGGTAGGGTGGAGGAGTATTTATACTAGAGTCTACGCAATCTAGACCTAACAAATCTGAATCTTTTTCCTAAAAATATCTAGATCTCTTTCTCCCAAAATCTAGTATCTTTCCTAAAATCTCTACTAAAATAAATATACAATCGGCTCGTACAATTATTGGGCTTGACTCTATTAGGCTAGTGATGATATTTCAACACATCCTCGCTGGAACTCTTTCCTTCCTCCAATCGATGTGGGACCGCCACCAAATCCACCCCTTTGAGCCCCAGCATCTTACTAGCACACTGCCTCGTGTCTACCCCCCTTCAGAAAACAACAAGAAGGCTAGCACATCGTTTGGTGTCTGGCTCTGATACCATTTGTAACGGCCCAGATCCACCGCTAGCAAATATTGTCCTCTTTGGGCTTTCCCTTTCAGGCTTCCCCTCGAGGCTTTAAAACGTGTCTGCTAGGGGAAGGTTTCCACACCCTTATAAATGGTATTTTGTTCTCCTCCCCAACCAATGTGGGACATCATAACTTTACCCTTCTTGAAGACCAATAGTAATGGAAGCATTCAGTGGGAGGTTTTTTCATTGAGTTCCGTGTTAAAAGAATGAATAAAGTAAGGAAGAGAAGATGGACTTGGTGCAATAGGATTATGCCTATAGTAGTAGGTGATTTTTTCATTGAGTTCAGTGTTAAAAGAATGAATAAAGTAAGGAAGAGAAGATGGACTTGGTGCAATAGGATTATGCCTATAGTAGGTGTATGAACTGTTGTTTGCTTTTCTTGGGCCAAAGGATGTGGGGCCTAGGAACAATGATCGATGAAGATGAAAAATAGGCCATATTAGCTCACTTTTCAGAGACCTAATATATATATATATATATATATATATATATATATAAATAAAAAAAAAAGGTTTTGAAATAAAGAAGACAGAACTTTTTAATATGGTACTCAATTCAACACGTTTACAACAGCTCTATGCACCTTGTTCACAGAACCTAGTAGACAAAGAAAGAGGGAGGGCAAAAGAAAAACAGATGTCTAAGTAATGATACAATCAGCATCATAAAAATAAATATGCAGTTAGCAGCATAGTCCGTCAGCCTACTATACTAACAAAAAGGGCATGGCAACAGCTAACCATGGTATCCACTAGAACATCTATTTTTTTGAGAGAGCTCATGTGAATATTTGCAAGCACTAAACATCAAATTGGCTCATTGATGACATGCCAAAACATGCTCTAACCTTTACATCCAAAGGAATGGCAGGGTGACTCCCTCCACCCCCACCCACATTGTAGATTGAGCATAAAGAAAAATATCCATCCATGTGTGTAGCTTCAAACAAGACTCAACTCAGACCACAGCTCTTGATAAGAAAGAATAGTACATCTAAATTATTATATGATTGAGTAAAATTAATAAGAACATATAATAACATGGAAACACAAAGGAAAGGCCAACTACACAGAATTGCGATGGAAGCACATCAGAACATGTAAGTTTAGCAAAGAACAAGAAATTTTTTTTCTAAATAACAGCAAAGTGAATAGATAAAAATAAAAGGGGCAATAGACTTTAGATCAGTACCAACTGTAGGTCTGGGAGTAGTCCTTATCTTTAAGATTTCTGGACGAGGGATTATAGATCCCGAGGCTCCAATTCCTCTTGAAACTCGTACTTTAGAACCATCTTCAAGATATCTAACACCAACCTTACAAGGCTTCCTGCAAAAGAATAATGTTTGACAATGCTCTAGCACAAGGAAAACATCACAACCTATTAGCAGTCATAGATAGTGTCCAAACCCTGTTGCTGGATCAACAACTTGAACATTGGATACATGGAGAGGAGCTTCAACCGTAAAGATTCCACCTTCATGACCTTGTCCTTGTTTAATATGTTTCTTCACCTGTATGAAGCATAGAAAAGTGAATGACAGAATAAATCTGACACACTCATGTCATGTGCAACTGCTGAAATCATAAAAATGATAGAGATTCAAAATCAATGAAGGGAAACATACAAACAACAGGATTTATAAACAAAACTGCTAGAACCATAAAATAGCATTCATCAGAGCAGCTGCAGCTGTGGATTATAGATGCTGGTAAAATAAACGGAAAGTGAAATAATAACACGATTTTCAACTTAATGATATCCTACTACCCTTGAATATCAGTGGACTATAGACATTGATTGAGTGGCAAGTGTTGGGGAAAATGCTTCTCTAGTTTCATAAACATAAAGCATAATGCTGCCATTCTTTAGTTCCATTTGAATTGGCAAGCACAAAGTCAGTTTCATAGGCCATTACTTGAATTCAATATTCAGCCCCTTTCTGAACCTTGAAGATGAAAGTGAGTTAACTTTACAGATAATCATGTGATGGCAAGACCTCAATGCAGAGAGAGAGAAGGATATGAGGAGGGGGAAAAGGCTTAACCCTAAATCAAAACGACCAAGCAAATCATTTGCAAGACTTAAATGCCTGCATAGCTACATTATCAGACAAGTGCAAGAGGGCCCAAGCACAGCAATTGAACACGAGAAAGCTCAACTCTAAACCTCAAATTGTCCAATTTGGCAAAGATTTTCTTACCAAGTTTTTACCCTCAACAATAACCCGATTTTGAGTGCGAATGACACGCTTAATAACACCAGTTTCTCCTTTATCCTTGCCTCTAATGATCATCACCTATGAAAAATACCAACAAACACGATCGTCAGAGGGAGATCTAACACATAAATAGGAGAAAGTAAGGTATCTATCTTTAAAATGTTTCCCTCACATTATCTCCTCTAAGAATTTTCCAGTGCCTAATAAGCTTTTCAGCAGCCTTCCAACCCATTTGAAACTAATGCAAACACCAAGGCCACTGCTGCCAATTTCTGCACAAGTTACCCCAACAATCTGCAGTTCATCGTTCAGATTATGAATTTCTATACTTTCACTACGTCATAGAACATGGATGATATATACTGAGTAGAAAATTCCAAGAAGATCCCAGAGGTTTTTAGTATTCAATCAGTGGCAAGAAAAAAAAAAAAAAAAAAAAAAAAAAAAAAA